CATCGTTAGTAGGTTGGAGGCCATCGTTAGTAGGTTGGAGGCCATCGCTATTAGGTTGCCTGTTTTTGTTTTTTCAAAATGCTTCTCTTCTTTCAGGACCAGGAGGAAGAGGTCGCCAAACAGGAGGAGGACGTAAAGCGGAAAGAAGACGAGGAGAAACGTGCAGCTGAGAAGGCCGCACCTCGCGCATGCGCGCGAAAACCGCGGGAGATCTCCATGCCACTGCGACGAAGCAGTGAGAATCAGTGAGCAAAAAGGCCTTCCATATTTGGAAGATTACATCATGACTACATGCTACGTGACGAAATACAGCACACACACCGATGATGTGGCGGGGCGCAGGAAAAGCTGGCTGCCGCCCGAAGAGAGGCCGCTTTGGCTTGCCACCGGTCCAACTCGGACGGGTTCCTCAAGACTTTCCTCCACCTGACCTGAACATACCTGAACCTCTTCTTCTCCCAGTAATTTCTTTTTGATTAGGAAAAAAGAACCTTCCACCAAGAGGCTTTCTCCAGGTTTTCTTGGGCACCGAATGGCTAAGCTCCGCCCAACCAACCTCAGTAGACAAGGTTGCCAAATGAATGTAGTACACAGCATGATGACATAGGAGTTGTGGACGTTCTGCCAGTACATAACTAAGAAACAACATTCAAAGAACAAATAAATACATACAAATTTAGAATAGAATACTGTGCCCAAGGAGGAATATGACTGATGAAAGCTTCATGACTTAGGCACACTCCCTAGCTGCGTTGCCTTCTAGGCTTCCGAGCGCATCGCCGCCGAGCGCGCCGAAGCGGCGGCCGGAGCGGCGGCCGCCGCCGCACCTGCCGTGCCGAATGGTACGAAAGCAAATGGTGTGAATGGTGCGAATGGTGAAGCCGAGGACAGCAGTTTCTGGCAGTTCTGAGCAGTTCTGCCAAACTTGGACCAGTTCCGTCACTCCCTCACCGTCGATTTCTGCCTCGCAATATGTTTGCCCCATATTTCCTGACGACAATTGCCCACGACCCACGAAATTGTTGTAATTCACCCGACCCAGATATCACCTAGAGCCTAGACATGACCCCTGTGATAGGAAAAACAAATATGTTGGGTGCAAAATAGAGATCCAGGTTTTAGGTCTACCTAGATGCTTGTGTTGAAGTCATCCAACACCTAGATGCTTGTTTAGGTCTACCTAGATGCTTGTTGGGTCAAACTCTTCACCGTGCCGGTCTACCCTTAGGACCTGGCACTGTGGGAAGTCATCGGTGGAGTGCCTTGGTCACCCACAAACGGTCGAAGCCACGGCGCAAAAACGGAGCGAGCTCGAACGGTGGAAGACCGACGAACGGTCGGAAAGGGAGGGGCCCCAACCAATGGGTTTTGCGTGTCTCAGCTTGTTTTTGTAAGAGCTGGCTAGGACTTCCCCAGCATGAAGCGTGAGAAGCACAGGCCAACCAATGGGTTTGGTGTCAAAAAAATCCCTTCTCCCGGGTCGGAACGCCTGGGAGATCTGTCTTGAGCTACACACCCATGTCATCTGTGGGTCATGGCATCAACTGATGCATCGACCGGTTAGTAGACATGGAGTCTCTCAGGATCGCCTCCTGTTGTACAGATTAGCGACCGACCATCGTTTGGTTTCTATGTTTAGCGTCTCTAGAGTTGGGCTTTGAGCTTTGAACATTGAGGTTGACAAAGGAGGCATCATGGTTCGAGAAGGCACGACGCCAACGACGCCGAAGACGCCACTGTTCGGTCGGTTTTGCGGCGGGACAGCGACCACCGTTGGCCAACACTGGGACATTAGATGCTGGACAGGCTGTTGAAGCAAATCAATCCGACGAGAAAAGCAATGGAAATGAGTTACATGAATATACATGAATTCTACTTCTAACATCATATAAATGGCAAGTTTCATCAAGTTTCCAATCGATTTTGCATGGAACCTGTTCTGTGTAGGTGAAAGCACCTCCTCCACACAGAAGACCGACCGGCTCTCTACCGGGGCTTTGGTCGAGGAGTTGGAACTCAAAGGAGATCGGCTTCATTACAAACTCAAGAAGCTTGGAGAAGATACTCTTTGGTGTGCAGAGCTCCTATACTTATTTCGGAAGTATTGGGATGCATCACCCACACATTCATGGTTTTTCCGGAGCTTAGGCACATTTTGTAGATATTTTAAGTGACCCCCGCCCCCTCCACAACACTCTTGAAAAACACACAAATCCCCAGCAAGACATGCAAGCGTCATGTGAGCGCCGGATGTCACAGATTGCGGACATGATATATGTGACCTATATGGCAACTGTCTTTTTGTGGTCGTAGATGACCTCAACACGGCTGCAGATCCATTTGCACTCACTTTCGGGCTCATGAACATGAATATTATACTTTGCTAGCTTATTGATTTTGAATAGATTCAACAAGGATCTGGGATCCGCTGTTTGCCTTTCATTCAGAACTCTGATGTCCTTAACCGTAAGCTACGCCCAACTCTACGGCTATGCCGCGCCGCAAATCTTCTGCTGTTACAATGGCTCTCAAACGTTTCGACTGTTCCCTTGGTCAGTGCGTCCATCCTCAGCCTTCATGGTGCCTCTCCTCTGGGGAGTTGTTCTGTGACAGTCTCCGGACCCAGCAACGCCCTCGTCTCGTCTCACGTCCGTCGCCTCCGTTCCCGTCCTCTCCGGCGCCGGAGTCGTCCGTTGGCCACGAGGAAGGGCACCGGTCCGGAGGAAGGCTGGGTGAGCGTGAAGCTGACCGGCAAGGATCTGCTGGTGCCCTGGGTCGAGATCGGCGAGCGCCTCGGACGGCGAGAGGGTGAGCGGAGAGCGACGAGGCATATGAGCGACTTGTAGTGGTGAATGGATGAGTTGTATATGATACAGTTTGCTTACACCATCTTACTATATTCACGCAGCGTTCTATGGTTGTATGATTGCCCACAACGACCTCCCAGCTCTTCACTTGTTTTCTTGCCGGATGTTTGTCAGACGGACGTCGCCAGTTGACGCTTGGAGATGACACATTCCCCTCCGGACCTGCTTTGGTGACCGAGTCGGGCGACACCGATGTCGATGTCCAGTGATGCATCGATGTCTCCGGGTGGTGAAACTCTGTGATAGAGAGGTTTTTCACGGCATTTTTCGCCCGCCCCACCATATGCACTTACCCTGATCTACCCCGTAGGATCCTATTTCAGTTGAGGTTTTGGAGAGTATATCATCCTCCCTACCCGTCCCCAAAATTGCTATCTTGGGTCTTTGGTGGATTCCCCCAAAGAACGTTGGGCCTTCAGAAGACCCCCATGGGCATGCTTCGTCGCTCTTCGATGAGCTTCGATGATCTTCGATTCATCAGGTTTGGGCCGAAAAGACGTCCTCCAAAGTGGAAGGTGGTGAAGCAGCCACAGCAACGCAGTTGCAGCTGGACGTCGCTCTGAAAGTATGCGCTGGTGATAGAAACGCAAGGGAATTTCGATGTCAAGCTGAGGATTGAATATGCTCAGATGAAAGAGATTGCGAGCAAGAATGATCCAGGTGACTATTATGGCATGAAGTTTCCATACACAAAGGACGGGGAGCTTCAACAGGGTCCAGGGTGCGAGCACTTCTTCAGCTTGGTCGCATCGATTCGGCTCGAGAGCCTGCAGGACATGCTTGTCGAGATGGGTCCTGAATGGCTGACGCAGGCGACGCCGGGCGGGTAAACGCACTGTTTGACGCGTCGCCCAACGCGACGCCACGTGGTCTCGTTTTTCCGAACTTGTTGGCGTTGCGAACGACGAGCCGAAAGAGATTTTTCTGGTGGAGATGAAGGGTGTTTGTTTGTTTGTTTGTTTGTTTGGCATATTCTCGTGCATACTAACTACAGTAACTCAGTATGTTTGTGTGATTTTTTCTAGTCTCGCCTGAACGTGTCATTCCAAACCAATTGTGATGCACAATTAGTGCGACTTCAGCTGATCTGCTTGGCCCTCTGCCTGTCGTGAAACTTGCTGGTTGCTTCTCATGGCTTACGGAAAAGGGCAGCGCTTATGCCGGGTTCTGGGCCCTTGATAGGAATCGCTCATAATATCTCTGCTGAACATCTTCAAGAAACCACTTGCACACTTGTACAGAAGTGCATGTTCTGAATGCAACAGGAGCAGTAAGGGCTGACACATACATGCAAGTATCTCAGATGTGCATGTTCACAGCCTTGGTGTATATATATATATCTATTAAATTCATTATGGATTATACTTAGAGTGTGTGTGTTTTCTTGTTTAATTTGGCGAAGGCAAGGATCGTTTTAACCTTTTCGTTGGCACAAAGTTATGTCCCTCAGACGTGCGATCACCGTGAGTCACCCCTTGGTACACCAGGCCTTCCACAAGAGTGGCGTGCTGCCACGAGACAACGCGGTCACCAAAATCACGGCATCTTAGCTGTGAGAGTGCTGAAACACAGGCAGCTGGCTTTCGCAGTTCGTTTTGGATATGAAAAAAGGGATTAAGATTGATCAGGGAGGCCATCGCTACTAGGGTGGAGGCCATCGCTGGTAGGTCGGACTGTGACTAAGTGGCATCAACGTGCCAAACTGGATGTTCCAGACAGAAGTCTTTCTGCATGTGACCCTTTCTCGGCTTCCCGAATTGTCGAATCTCCATTGAAGCTTCGCCATGAGAACCCGCCTTGAACACGTATATATGATTATATTATATATATATATGAATAATATATATATATGTATTATATATATAGTTGTCCCCGAACAGATAGAAACGACTTCCAGAACACTTTAGGTGGGGATCTACTTTTCTATCTATTTGGGGGTCTCATACATATACCCTTTTTCGCCAAACATGTTTGCCACTTCTGAGGACGCGAAGGAGTTCGTGGGCGGTGGTGCTGGCTTGAAATGCACCTTTACAGCCACTCAGAGATGATGATCTGTCGCCACCCACGTCGCGAGCGCCTCCTGGATCGCGACGACGGTCGACGTCGCCGTCGCGACTCCTACGACGAACGCGTCGCGCTCCGACTGTCGCTGTTGAAACATGTGAAGAGAAACCTCGTGTGTTGTGACGACCTCGTCCGAGCCTCGCCCTTCTCCCTCTCCAGGTGGAGTACAAGAAGGACGAAGCCTATTTGCACAAGAAACTCTTTGCCAAGCTGCCACACAAACCTGGCGGCTCCGACAGATACTTTGTCTCGTGCATGTGGAACCACGACAGGCTGGTGGATCTGGTGGAGTCTTGGATGTTGGAAGGTTGAACATCAATCTGAAGCAGATAGAGTTGAAGTTTCAGAGTTCAAGGTTGAAACTATTGCATGACTTCTTAGAGTGGGACGGAGAAGTGAGATAGTAACAATATAAAATAACATAAATATTATATAATATAATATACGTTTAGCAGGCAAAAAGACGGCACGTGCATCTTACAAGCTCTCTTGCATGAATATCGCCCGTGCCCGCTACTGCAGGCCGGAGATCGTGTTCAACATTTTCTTGCAGGCAGATCTTTTGGGGATGTTTTTCTTTCAGAATCCGTCAGATGCTTTTTTGCAGTGAAAACGAGCAGCGGTAAGTGTCAACTTCTTATATTCTTGGTGATTCAAGATCATTTAGTTGCAGCCACATCGACATTTCTCCCAGAAAATACTAAAACTAAAGGGGTCCTTCCCCCCCAAAATACTTGCCCCAAACCCCAGCACTTCGATGAGGGATGAAGGTGACCAAGACATCTCTGTCCCATGGGACGCCGCTTCCAAAACCACCCATGGGACGGACCACGACGGACCGACCACGTCCACCGGACCGACCGGGACAGACGACGGACCGACCGGCTCGTCGACGTGGCCGGGCGAAGAGGGGGCCGAGCGGAGCGTCGCCGCCACGGCCATTTGGCAAGTCCGTAGAGCTACTCTAAGCTTCTGGCTTCTGTTCGCTTTCGATGCGGCGTTCCGTTCGCACGCTTTCTGGCCGAGCGGAGCCTGCCGAGCCAGCACGGACCCGGCCGTTGATCCCTGGAGTCGCCAGGACTCCGTGCCCTTCCGAGTCCCCAAGTTCTACTTCGGAGCGCCCCGAGCTGGTGGGGTCCGGCCGACCTCCGGTGGTGGTCGGTCGCCATGGGTCGCTTCAGCGAAGAAGTGGTTGTCTGATGGTTTGAGAGGGTTTTGAGAGGATTGCTTAGGGGTGTGCCAGACTGGGTGGTCAAGTGAAGCCAGCAAGTGAATCCTGCATTGCTGAGATGTGGGATACCAGAACCAGAGACCGCTGAAGGGAGGATACCCAATACCTAGAGACCGCAGTTGAACAATCCGCTGGGTCAGGAACATGTGCATCCGTCGACAGGCGACCATTTGTCACTAGTTGTCGGTGGAGTACCTGGACGATTTTTAAATCCTTGATTAATTTCTTGCATTTTCTTGCTATTATATTAATCCACCTATGGCATGCGTCCCTGGATTCATTTCAATGTATGTGAAGATATACTGTAGCAGATTAATATTCATATACATCCAGGGAGTCTGCAGGGTACCCCTGGGCACCCCCCCGTTCTCCACCACTGAACAGTTGGTCATCGTTTCGCCAGGGACCGGCCTAATAGGCGGCCGTTGGAAAGTTCTGTTTTGACAGATCTCCCGTTGTTCTAACACTTCCACTGCTTGGTAGAACTTCCACTAGTTCTAGCATCAAAGTGTTAGAACTAGCTCAAATGGTTGTAGGATGCTAGTTCTAACACTTTGAGCCCAAGCCACCGGATCTTCTTCCATCGCAACTGCCGTCAGATCACTGCCAAACGACCGCTGCCGGACGACCGACGACAATTCGCTTCACTCCTGAGGACATCAGTGCTACCACGACGAACTTCATCTTGATCACAGAGACGATCGATTGGGCAGAGGGAGGCAAGAAGGTCTTTTCCCCTGGAGAGATCGAGCCAGCCTACGACAAATACAAGGACAGACGACCGACTGAACTGACTGGTGACCGGTCACCGACTGACAGTATGGCCGAAAGGATGGCAGCAAAGCTTAGAGAGACTGGAGAGTCAGGACTGGGAGTTGCCTGATGGTGGCCCCATGCAACTGACACTGAATGGATTTGCGCACGGCCGGTTTTTGTCCTCTTGCGACTGGAACCAGGTCCACTTTTGGCAGAACTAGGAGCAAGGATGCTACTAGGAGCAAAGGGCGCTACTAGGAGCAAGTGCCTTACTAGTAGTAACAAGAAGCTATTAGAAACAAGTGCATCGCTCCTACTAGTAATGTAACATGATTGAATGATTGACCGCACACATCACCCCCAGGGGACGTGTCTTTGAGGTATTACATGGCGTGTTGCCGCGCTTTGGGCAAGATGGCTGGTTACCACAAACAGAAGCGTCTCCACAAAAGCATTGATGAGACTTGAAGCAAGAAGAGTGATTTTCGCACAGTGCTTCAACAGAGAAGATCCTAAAGGCTCAGGAGCAGAGCAGGCAAATGAGATGAAGCATCATGTGGTACTTTAAACAGCAACTGAGGCACTCAGGAGATCTGAAGATGTAGTTCTTATGCTTGCTTTCGGCACCGCTGCCCCCACCTGGCCCGTGACCTCACTGAGGAGATGTTTCCCATGCCGGATCCGATTCCCGCCATTCCTCCCCTTCCCTCATTGGATGCTTTGACCAAGAAGCAAAATGCGGCCAAGATCGATCAGTTCCTCAGCTGGTCCAGTCTGAATCGACTGGACGTGTGGGGTAAACAGCCCGATACAGCGCCATTTTTGCTCCATCCACGTGTGAATTGTATTCTTTTTTCAAGCACCTGATGCGATTTCACGCAGACCTGACTTGACACTTTCTTGAAGAAAAGCCTGAGGTTTGTTCGCTTTGCCACCTGGATGAAGTGCGTCCTTCGAGCTGTTTTATTGGGTTGTTACTTCCACTGCCTCCGTTTGGAGCTGCGCTTTGCCTCACTTGCAGCCTAGCAGCTCGTTCCACCGCCGCTGCAAACGCTCTTCCCAGGTGGGTGAGACGGCGAAAGCCGTCATGCCGGACGAGATCACAGATCCAGCATTCCTGCAGCAGTGGAAGGTTGAAATCCAAGATGTTGCAGATGCTTGGATCAATGACAACTGGCCCATACCGCAGAGCACATCAAGCTGTGATTGAGATTGATTGGCAACAAGAGAGTCGGAAGTTCTGCGTTTGAATCACAGTTGGCCCACACTGTACAGCAAAAGACATTTTTGTGACCCATGGACGTTTCGCAAGTTTTGTGAATTTGATTTGGGAAGCCCAATGGCATCAGCTTTACACATTTGAGGAGTATAGCAACGAGATCATGTGCCAGGAGCTTAGACATCGAAGATCAGGAAATGCCGGGGTCCTCGCCGAAGTCATCCTTTTTGCAGCGAGATGCCCCTGTTCAACGACCTCCTTTTTGGCCGCTGTTTTCCCACTGACCTGCCTCTGCCCGGCTCAGAAGCACCCTTAAAAATCACGCGCGCGAAGAAACGCGACGCGCGAACAGCCAGGCTATTGTTGTGGAGCCGGCGCCAGCAATCCGCACGACTATGTCGGCCTCACCCACAACAATCTTCAAATTGACAACGCCCTCCTGCCAGCAGTGTTGGACATGTTTTCTTGATTGCCAACAGTTCTGCGTAGATGTTTTGACACACACACACACAGAAGTTGGACCTCTGAACAATTGATGGGAATGACGGTTTGAGGCCTTTTTCTGGCGAAATGTCAGGAGCTCAGATGGCTTGACGGACCTTGGTTATCGCCCAAGGTTCAATTTAACACTTTATATCCGAAGCGGCGCTTCTTAGAGTCTGTGCAGCTCGAGCTCTTCCCAAGATGTATGTCATTCAGGATTTCTTTTGAAGTTCTTTTCGCATGCTGAGGAGCAGAATGAGGTGGAGGTTGGCCTCTTGGATTGGGGTGTTCTCGCTTGTGGTCCCTTGATCGGAGCGATGCAAGGTGCAGGCCTCAGAGCGAGGCGAAAACGCCACGCCGCACACACGAGGTCTCACAAGGGCTTGTCGAAGGTCTCACGAGGTCTTTTCGAACCTCGTGAGACCTCAAAGGAGTTAGGGGTCGGCTTCCTGGGGCTTCCAGTGTGCAAAGCATGGGCGAAACCCGTGTGCAAAGCACCCTCATTTCGACGCCCGAGGAGATGACCGTAAATGGACGATTTTTTCCCCATTTGTAGAGACTTTCTTTCAGAAAACCCATGTGGCAGGCTGTATCTCGGGTGCCTCCACGGAGGTCCTTCTGGAGCCACCTGGCAGAAGTGCGTGGAAAAGGCACCAGTTCTTTTAGACGAGTCAAGTCGTCTTTTGGGCTTTTGCGCCAACAGAGTTGGTTGGCCATGCCCAACATGATACAGAACCTGGTAATATATTTCTTGGACGTGCTGCCATGCTGCATGTTGGACGTTTAATTGTGCTGTCCCAGGTACCGAGATACTTTTTTGAAAACTTTCATTGACAGCTTTGCTGAGAATGGAGGGCCGCAGTTGGACATGGACTGGACGCGGGTGCTTTCTGATGTTCAGCAAACACAACGTGGCACTGAAAGATACAACACCATGATTGCTACAGGCACAAAAAGAGAACGCCATGAGACGAACAACTATGACACAAGCCTGAAACTCTATCATTTGCCGGTTTAATATATTTTCAGGAGCGCTTTAAAACGATGTGCTGCCTGCAAATGTTGTTGTGGTCCTTCAACATCACCAGCAGCTTGGTGGAAATTGCTGTGGAGCATTCTGGAGCATCTAATCTAATCTGCTCTGTTTTCTAATGGCTTCTAGGTTGGAGGCGACCATCGCTATTAGGTTGGAGGCCTTTGCTATTAGGTTGGAGGCCATTGCTATTAGGTTGGAGGCCATCGCTAGTAGGTTGGAGGCCATTGCTAGTAAAAGGTTGGAGGCCATTGCAATTAAAAGGTTGGAGGCCATTGCTA